CTTAACAAACAAATTTTTATCCTTTTAAACACAAAGTATCTAGTTCAATAGGTTAGAGGTATATCTTTAAAGTGAACAAAAACTTCTATTGAGAGAAGACTTGTATCTCTGTGTATTTACGATGAACTTCAATTGATTTTATTGTTCATTTAGGCAAAACTTCCTTGGTTCTCCAAAAAGTCTATTCATCATCATTGACTAAGAACAATCAAATTTATTATCGAGATTGTCAGAAAGAACATTTTTATTATGAATCTATTCAAGTGAAGGTGATTGAAAGTGGTTACTACACTTTGCATGGCAGCGGTAAAATCGATCCATATGGATCGATTTACAAAAATAAATTTAACTCATTTGATCCATCAGATAATTTGTTCGATCAAGATTATGACCGTGGCTCTAATGTTCAGTTTAAACTCGATGTTCATCTTTATGCTGACATGACATACGTATTGGTTGTGACAACATATGAATCAAAACAAACTGGAGAATTTTCAGTCGTTGTATTGGGTAAAAACAAAGTTTTTCTCGAACGTCTTAGTAAGTATATGAATATTTGTGTTGTATATTAAATAATTCGTATAAACACTATCTTATAGTAGATGGATACTCTAGTTTCCACAGATACTGGATGAAAAATGTTTTTAAAAGAATAGTCAATGAGATCAGAGACCGGATACTTAGTACATTACTCAGTATCTTGGTAATTTTTTACTTAGAAATTGTCAGTACCAAGTATTTTTTAAAAGTACAAGTAAATTTACTTGTACTTTTCGAATGTACTTTTGTACTGATACTAGGTACAAATGTACTTTCATAAGGTTGCTAATCACTTGCCTTTCTTCTCAAGACCTGATTATTTATGTATGTGCTATTTAACGATATACTTCTGTGAAGTTTAATCTCTAATCGTATATACGATACTTTTCTGAAACTTTCTTTTGTTTGGGCATAATTTAAAAGTCCTGTATATACCTAGTTTATCTTGATTATTGGATGAAAGAATAATAGATAAATCATAGGAAAGGCATATACATTTTATAGAAGAAGAAAAAATGAACAAGGGAAGAAGTCAAGAAGCTTATCCTCCGTTACTTTCACACAATTAAAACGAGGACATAAGAATTAAATAAAGGGATAAACGAGGGTCAAAAAAAGTGAGCTCCAAGCAGCGTAAACTCCGAATTTGGAGCTCACCTACGCCTCTCATGTTTTATCAAATATTATTCAAAATCATGGCAATAACTGAAAAGTTATTGACTCAACATGTGATAAATCTTTTCTGAAACTGAAAGTACCATTCCCAAAACAGAGCAAAAGTACTCACTACTCGGAAGTATCATTCCCACAACAGAACAATTGTGTTCTATGTTTGGGAATTTTTGTTCTCTTTTGGAAATGACTCTTCCGGTTTCAGAACAGATTGATTCTGTGTTTAATTATTACTATTTTTGGACAACTATATAATACAAAGCAAAACTATATGATAAATCTAATCAATACCCAATGACCTCAATACAGTTATATCTTAGTATGTCCCTTCAGTATATAAGTACATGATATTGTTGTGCAAGTGCAAATGTACTGAAGTAATTGTACTTGAGTAAAAAGTCCAAAGTCCGAATAGTCAGTACCAAATACTTGTACTTGTACTTGTCCGGTCTCTGAATGAGATGTTTGGAAACATTCAAGACTCAAATGTTGAAAACTCAAAGAGTATCATGCTGTAGCTCAGTACTTTTGGATTTCTATGGTAAAATGTTTTCAGAATACTCACTTGGATGATGTGGGTTTGGTACATTTACTAACCTCTATTTGTAAAATTGAATTTTCCATAGCAAATCTCAAAGATTTCGCTTTCGTCGATGTTAGATAATAGTTTTATGAAAGGATCGTTGTCGAACTATTTCCACCTTTTTATTAGCCAATAAATATTGTCTGAATGGAATGTGGAAGACGGAAATTTGTAATAGTATCGAAATTCTATGAATTGTTTGAGTTTTATTTTTCATTGAACAGGTACTCCAGTAAATATTCAATTAAGATATTCATCAAAATTAATCGATGATAGTCCAACGTTTTATCGAGATTGTAAAGTACCACAATGCCATTATGAAGCTTTACAAATTTATGTTAATACAACGGGTTTATATGTTCTGTGGAGTGAAAGTAATATTAAGGCATATGGATATATATACGAAAATGATTTTAATCCTCTAAAACCATCTGACAATTTACTCGTATCACATGGCGGTAAATGTAATTATGGAGAGTTTAAATTAATCATCGATCTCGAGGCCAAAATTCGATACATATTAGTTGTGACAACACATGAGCCTAAGATATTTGGGAACTTCTCTATCTTTATTTCTGGACCAAACAATGTCACTCTTAGTCCTTTCAGTAAGTATTTACATGATTTTTTTGATAACATATATATAATGCTATACAACACATGCAAAGAAGATTTCTTCTACTTTTTTGATTATAAGTGAGCAATTCTTATTTTAGATTTTGAAAAGGAATCAATTGGGTTATTGAATTAAATAGTTTTCAGAATCTTTGAATCTGTTAGAAAAGACACTTGTTTAGCGTGAATTCTAGATAGATTGTTCATATTTTGAATATTACTACTTACACCCTTTTAAATCTTTATGGATATCAAGTTTTCGAAGATTCGAAATCTTGCAAAAGTAAAAGTTTCTTCGATAATTTATCAAATATTTTAGGCCCAAAAGAAAGTCGTTGTGTGATTGGTGATCAATGTAACTTTTACATGAAAGGAATTGGTTTGACTCTCGATGATATTTTACGTGATGAACTTCAACCGAACAAAGTGTTGAATAATCAAACATTTTCGATTAAATTCAGTGCGGGTTTAACAATAATTATGTTTGTCGCAGGATTAATCAATAGTATTCTTTCTTTTATGACATTTCAAAATAAAGATTCTCAACAAGTTGGATGTGGAATGTATTTATTGACATCGTCGATTACTTCTTTTTTGGCAATTAGTATGTTCCTAATCAAATTTTGGTTTGTTGTTCTTACTCATATCAATGTGTCCACTAGTCTCTCTGTTCTTCGTGGAGGTTGTGTATTTATTGAAACAATTCTAAAAATTTTTCTCTACTTCGATGGTTGGCTTAATGCTTGTGTAGCAGTTGAACGAGCAGTACTTATTTTTAAAGGAGTAAAATTTGATAAAAAAAAGAGTAAATCTTTTGCTCGACAAATAATTCTTATTCTACCATTCTGTATTTTGGGTACTCTTATTCACGAGCTTGTATATCGTGAATTGTTCGTTTATGAAACAGGACTAGATAAGATAGATACGAATAAGACGAATGAAGACACAAACAAACGATATGTATCATGTATCACTCGTTATTCTTCTTCTGTCCAAGATTACAATACAGCCATTCTATTTTTTCATCTTGTTGGTCCATTTATTGTCAATCTTTTCTCTGCATTATTCATCATCTTTGGAGGTGCACGACAACGATCAATGGCGCGGACTGACCAGAATTTTAAAGAACATATTCAAGAACAATTCAGCGAACATAAACAATTGATCATTAGTCCAATAATTTTACTCGTTTTATCAATACCTCGTCTGATCATTTCATTACTTACTGGTTGTGTGAAAACATCTGAGAACTTGTGGTTGTATCTTGGTGCATATTTCATTTCGTTTACTCCTTCGATGCTGATCTTTCTTATCTTTGTCTTTCCTTCGGAATTGTATATGAAAGCGTTTAGACAATGGTTTAATCGTATTCGACAGCGTACTCCTCCGTAATCACTCCTTTCAATTTGAATGACTATTATAATAAATACAAAAGACATTATTTATTTGTTTGCGTCTCGTAATGAATCAATCGATGCACTGATACATTTGAAAATCATCTTTGGAAAGAGGTTTTCAACACTTATAGCTCGAGATATAACTACCATAATCGATTTCGAACCTGTTAGAGTTCATTCTCAAATGGCAAAAACTCAAAAACGATCAAAAAACATTATTTCAAAAAAAAATAATGTCATTTAAAGTGAGGATGTGGGTTTGGGTGGGTGTGGGTGTGATAAAGATAGAGAATGTTACGACTATAGTTTCGTCCTCTCTCAAGGGACGCTCACCAAGTAGCTTAGTAAGTTGCGAGTATGGTTTTGGCAGGGTTGTGAGATCGGTATTGACTGTTTTAGCTTTATTGGGGTTGAATGTGGGTTGGGAGAGATATTGTGTTGGTGGATGCATGCTGCGAGTGGAAATATAAAAGCTTATATGTGGTATATATCGGAGTGGATGAAGATTTTTGGAATTGTGTTCAAGCTGAATGGAGATTTTGTTCCGTACTGTTTTTTTCATGTGTGCGGGAAAAAAAGATGAGAGCTAGTTTATTATTATGTTAACTACGGCAACAAGAGGAAAAAGGAAGAAATTGAACTATAGTGAGTATCGTTTTGAAAAGTGAAGTGAGTCGATTCAGAAATTGTTAGATTATGTTGTTGTTGAATTGTGGAGGTGGTGACGCAGACATTAGTTGTTGATTGATTTTGGGGTCGGTTTCAAACGCATTGATAGTAGTATGGCGACTAGAGTTAAAGAAGAAATGAAAACAGGAGCTATTGAGTCCGAATGGACATTCGTTGTGATGTGGCAGTACTTACAGCCGTAGCAAATCTATTGTCAGATGCGTATTGCTGGGGAGAATTTCGATGAAGGTTGAATGTCTGTTGAGTGGATCTGATGGCTGGATCTGTTGACTGCCTGATCAGCAGTGACAGATTAATTGTGTTTTCTTGTTCTTCGTTCGGTGGTCCTAGGATGTTTATGACGAAATGAAATGATTGATGAACCTGGATGCATTTACTCACTTCTGGTTTGACTTGACTTTGACGCGGAATGTTTTGGTCGACGGATTTTGTGACAGTGATCGAGAGAATAAATGACAATAATTGTTGTTGATAATACAATCAACATAACCAATAGAGTTATAATGAGAATGAAAATTAGAATGACGGGTGGTGAATTGAAGTCGAGTGAATTGGTAGCTGATAGTTGACCTGTTTGATACGGATAGACTGAAAATACGTTAAGTTATATTTCTTTGCGATCTCTTTCGAGCTTTGAATTACTCGCCGTGCTCGAAATTAGGCTATTGAATTGAACACATACTGGGTATTTGTGGTGCCGTGGTTGTTGTGGCTGTTATGTCAGCATTCATAATATTTGAACAGGGCTCAGGTATATTAAGCAGAAGCTCTTCCGATTGATCACATGAAATATATTTGTGTCCAAGCCAGCAGTCCTGTTTATTCTTTCTATAGAACTGGCATGTATTCTTTCCCATAAATCGACTATTTGGAGAAATATGTCTCATCTGAAAATTGACTTCGTTTCGAATGACTTTTGAAAAATTGCTAAGAAACACTATCTGAAACCGTTACCGAAGCAAATTAATGTAAAGAATTTCTAAAGTGGTAAGACATCGTAGAAATGGAGAACGTTACGGCTTTATGCTAGACCTTCAAGAAGATTAAATCACTCAGATGGTCGAAACATATCATTTTAACGTTGAAGATGATAAAAAAAGTCAACGTTGTTGAATAATCGGAATAGATCCATTTCAGTTAGTAATCATACCTATACGAAAAATTCAAATATAATATCACCTAAATCTATTCTACTGTATATCTCGAAGTAATTTCCTTGTTTAGTAAATTTTACTTATGAATAATGCGTTGTAGGATTGATCAGTTCTATATTGCTGAGAAAGATCTTTTTATATCTACAGCAGACAAAGAAGATGTGGTTAAGGTTAAATGAAATGCTTGTGAACAGATAATGGTACTTCAATTTTTTATGCTATGTAACAGGAGAGGAAGTAAACAAGAGAACAGTATGGTATGCAGTAAAATGAAAGTCTACAGAACGAAAAAAAAACACATGAGCTAATAAACGCTACACTACCGAAGTTCACAGAACTATGTTAATCTACGATAACATCGTCTGACTTATTTCTGATCAGATTCATTTTCGATCGACATATTCTTGACACATTTCGATAATAGTGAAATGTTGGGTAACGAATTAGATAATCCTGAGTCTGATAATTTGAACGTAACTTCTAGACATCGCCGTTTTGGATCGGGATCTCTTGGTATTGCTCTTGGTGTTCTTGGTGATGGCACACTTGGAGTTGGTGTTATTATTGGAAGTCGATTTGCCAGTTGTTCCTTTCGGATTGAAGACGCCATAGTGTTACTTATATCCATTGGTTCGGATGCGTTGTTTGTATCTATTTTTTAGAATAAATCGAAACATAGATTCACTCTCACAATGGTGACTAGTAAGCGTCTCTTACTGCATTGATTAATGTTGTCGGAACCCGACGCTGAATTATTGATTGATGCCATTGAGAAATCAAAAGAAGTTTTGCTATAATGACCAGTAGAAATAGAGCTAGAGTTAGTTGATATCTAAAATACCAAGCAGAGTCTTTGAAGGGGTGTCCTTATTTCATCTTCTTGGCTAATACAAAGAGTTTATTCAAAGAAAGCTAGTATAAGAAGGATAACAAATAATACAAAAAGAAAACATGTAAAGGAGGTGTTCGTTCTAATAAGTAAGTGTAGGCAACGTGAAGACTTTGTAGTCAGAGTAAATTAATGTGACTTTAGTTTTTCAGCACAACTAACGTCTTAGAAGTCTAATAATGTAGAGCATTATTATTCTTCGCCTGGTTTTGTTTTGAATTCAATGGATTCATCATGTTGATCTTTCTGTTGCGATTCCATTGCCGTTGTTTCCTTTTCATCTTGTTGTGTAGATGACATATCTTCTTGAAAAGTTCCACCTGGAGTCTCACTAGCGCTGATACTATAGTCTTTGACCTGGAAATGACGGTGTGAAGTTGAGGAGCATGGATATTAATCCATCTACTGATCAATTTGAAACATGGCATATTTTACCTCACAACGTTCAAGTTGAACATAACATCGCAAAAAATCAGTTAGTTTTAAATCTGTAGTTACACTTTCAGCTTGTTGGCGATTAGTGAAGTATTGCTGGCCGTTCTCAAACAATGTGCGCGTATTGTTGTTGGTTGCTAGCAAATCGGATTGCTGTTAAGAAATGATCGACATTTACGATATTCATGAACTTAGTTTTCTATACGCACCTGCTCGATTTTCGATTGTTCCGTACTGTCAGCTGAAAATAAAAAGGAAAGGACAATTCCAAGTCATTCAAAAGACAGTAAAACAAATAGTGAATTTGACTACTTCCATCTCGACATGTGGTTTTTGTATTGGACATTTCTTCAAGCGTTGAATTATATGTTTTTACGATAATATCTAGAAAAGGAAAAGAATCATCTACCAGACATCGCTAAGCTAAATATTTTCTTTTTTTCTATGAAACTATCTACTACAAATCACAAATACAAAGATAGACACTGGTATGCGAAATATGTTTAATGTTTTATATTGTAGTTGTTATCGTTTCTAGAAAAGATAGAAAAACTATGTATATGAAAACAAGTGCGTACGCCTTACAAGTTATATCATTTGTTTCGCTTATGTCTGTCCAATTGTTCGTGTTTCCAGTTACAAATAACTAACAGCCGTAATTTAGTAATAGCTAAACAGTCACTGGCAGCGTAACGAATCAACTCATGGCAAATGCCCTGCTTTGCTTGATTACTACTTGTTAG